TTTAGTTATATATAAAGAAGTAAAAGCGAAAATAACGAGAATTAATTCTCAACGCAATTTCCAAATGTCCTGTTCCAATTTGAAACGCGGTTATTTAAATTGCTCTAGCAGCATGAGCCGCCGCACACATTTTTAATGAAATGAAAAACTAAAAAAAAAATTATAAAAATGTTTGCGAAACAAACAAACATATATTGAACTAACAATTGAAACATTTAGATGAAACTTGTGCGTTTATTTTAATTAATTTAAAATATTTTTCCCATTTTGGTGAGACTTTTATTTCTTTCGTTTCCTCTTAACATATTATATAACAAGAATACACATTTACTTTTCTTTTTTATACAAGAACTTTAAATAAAATATTAAACTTGTGAAACAATGAATTGAAATATATAAACGAAAATGAAACGAAGCTAAAATTGTTTTATTTCTTTAAATGAGTTCATTTTATAGACAAGAGAGGAAAAACCGTTATCTTCTATTACACCGAAGCTWTAATATCATTCAAAAATAGACGAGTTTTCTAAACAAAATTATTTTTGATCGATCAGTCTGTAAGACAGCTATACAATTTCCACGATAGCCGGTTCTTCGTTACCTGATTTTATTTGGTCAAGGACTGTTTTTTCGGGAACCTAACACCGTTTGAATTGGTGAGTTTTCGATTAAATTTGTTATCACTGAAGCAACTCCTTGCAGCAGGGTTGCTCCGTATGCTCCCAACTCATGCTGGCATTGAGGCCAACCAGCAGGGATGCTCCTTATATTCCCTACTAGTGCTAGCATTTTAGTTCAATCCGAGTCCGGAGGAATATTTTGCTGCGTCTGCACTAAAAGAGTTCAAACAGGCAGCATGACTTCCATTATGATCAGTCGACCTCCGACCTTCATCCTGCTTCAATTTCCGTGCGATAATCACTCAGCAATTAGTGGTTTCTCGCACAGTCTKTTCCGTGTGTCAGACCGTCATACATCGGAATGTTACATTAATCAAGTGCAATTCTAATACTGGCCGTAGTGTTTCGAGGTGAAAATTCCGAATTGAAAAGAATTAAACAGAGGTTCCTCAGGATGATCTTAATATTACAGTCGCCGACGTAAAAATTTCGACAGTCAATAACCCTAAGATTTTTGGCGTGACACTAGACAACCACTTCTCTTTCACTCCTCATATGACCGCGATTATTGGCAAAATATAGAGCCGCTGCAAAATCCTCAAGTCGCTAGCCTGCAGCATAAGGAGAAAAGACAAAGAAACATTGTTGGCAACATACAATGCAAACGGCCGTCTAGTCTTTAACTACACCACACCAAATGCAGACGAAGAAGCTTCAGACATGCTAGAACACTGCAATACGGACTATAACGGGATGCCTCTTGATRTCTACGGTCGAACTACACAATGAGACCAGTAAGTTCAAAGTTAAGAAGCGTAATGAGCTGCTCTCCAAGCACTTCGTTCGGGTGTTTTCGCAGAAACCAAACCGGAACCACCTTTTAGGAACAACAACAAACTTCAGACATGCAATGACCGCCATTCACGGTAGAGTCATAACAACCTTAACCGACTCCCTCTCAGTGAATAGTGTACTTGTAGTCCAATCACCAACCATTGTAGACGACGGGCTTGAGTTGCCCCGAGAATCGAGAGTGACTCTTGTGCAATTTCCTTCTGGATATTCTAGCAGGTTAAATTTCTGCTAGAGAATCGACCTCGACCCCTACACATCTGACGCTCCTGATGACCTCGATGACGAATTCCTGAACATTACCACCCTAACGGAGATCAGATAACCACAACAATGCCATAGTACATAGTTTGATATGAAAAATCCTCAAATGAGTAGCTTCGTGTAGATTAAAGTACAGAATCAGATCAGAAAATGGGGACTTATTCGCGTATATGGAACATAGATAGACATATAGATATGGCCAATCGACTCTGATAATCATGGTGGTCATTTATCTACAGGGTGTTACAAACTTTGTTAGAAATGTATAATATACCCTTTTCAAGGTATTATTACCCAGGTAATTATTATCGAAAGGGGCCACAAGATTCCAATCTTCGTGAGCGGTGTCGCCTTTATTTGTTTGGTTTATTTTAGATTATACTTTATTCCCTAAATTTATACACCAGCTGCCCCAATTCTAGTTACGTCATGTTAAGGTTCTATGAATGAAGTTAGCTTACAAATTACCGATCCAAACATGATTAGACTGGCGACTTCACTCATCTAATATCCTTTTCATTATGGTCGTTTTCAATCAGCAAATTGGTGATTATAATATATTTTTTGATAACGTATTCAAGTATATATAAGTGTATTTGTGGATATTTTTTTTCTGTTTTTATATACATATATATTATTATTATACTTGTTAGCTGATGAACCCGTTGAGCCAACCAAACGATCACTACGTGTTCAAACCTGGAAGAAAATTCAGGACAACAAGTGCGGCGTCGGTTTCAATGCTATTTTCAATCGCACACCTGGTTTTGTGGACAGCGACAAAGCTGCCAAACTTCTCTCAGAAACCGAAGAGTTCAAAAAAGCTGGTAAGTAAATTTTATTAAATTCTGTATTTATATATATATATATATATTAAATATATATTAAAAATTTATTTGTTTAAATCTTATGTTCGTATATAGAAAACATCAAGGTCAATATTGATCGCGCTTTGCATTCGGTTAAATTGGAAACTCTGCTTGCTGGAAAAAATTTGTATTTACCAGGAACGCGTGACTCCAAAGCTATATGTTTAAAGGTTGACGTGCCTGCTGACGCCACAGATGATCAGATAAAGGAAGTTCTAAATGTACAAGATGTTCAGCAACATCGCACTGAAATAAGTAAGTTCAAAAGTTCTTAACAGGATTTTTGAAAGATGTACATTCGGTTTGAATAACCTGTTTCAATGGCGTATAATTCCTATATAGTGCATTAAGATAATTTGTTTTCTTTTACAGCTTTAGAAAACAAAGTTAAGTTGGATATGGTAGTCATTGGTTCGGTGGTAGTATCACGAGATGGTTACCGCATTGGACGCGGTAACGGTTACGCCGATCAAGATATTGGCTTGCTTACCGAAATTGGTTCAATTACGCCTGACACAGTAATCGCTACGATGGTACATGACCTGCAGGTATGACACAAGGCAAAGAATACAACATGTGCATATGTTTACTTGAATGTATGCGTATCTCTAAATAGAACTAAACAAAAATAAATATTTAAACATTAATGACCTTAAGTTCATCGCTACAATAGTAGTCGTTGTTATTTAAATGATAAGCTATGCGTGCAAGCACTCTATGCATTTGCATCAAATATTTCCAATGATTTTTAATATATTACGAACATTTTCTTACAGGTTGTTGATAGCCTGCCAAAGGAGCTATTTCAAAAATACGATACTCCAGTTGATTTGATTGTAACACCCACAGAGGTTATACATGTCAGCAAACGGTTGCCACGCTCACCTGGCATATTCTGGGAATTGCTTTCAGAGCGTCGTCTTAAGATTGTACCTGTTCTCCAGGTGCTTAAGGAAAGCCAAGAGAAGGACGGTAAAGTAATTGTGCTGAAAGAAGTGGATACCGATATTGAACAAAATCCAAATGCACGCAATCGTCGCCGTGGACCGGCTAGTCGACGCAACAGACGTCGCAACCGACGTCGCGCTTTATCTCAAATCGATACTGAACAACAAGATGTAAGTACAAAGTTAYCAACAAATTTTTATAAGAAATATTTTAGTTTTTTACAATAGGGGTATTCTCTTGCTCTTGCAAAACCCTTGCACGRCGCAAGAATTGCAGATTTTTCCACCTAATGCAACGGCATAACAACAAACACATGCAGAAAAATATTTGCAAGTTCGGTAAAATATGTCAGGCCAAAATTCATGTTTATTTGCGTGCAATGTCACGAAGAAATATAATTGCAACCATGCATTAGCTGTCATTTTACATATTTACAAGTAATATTTTGACATTAAATTTTTGAGGAAGGTAAATTTTAAATAGATTTTGTAATTTCCACTTAAATTACAAAGATTTGTTACAGTTAAAAATGTATGCAGAAGGTGCGCCAATTCACAATAGTAATTTTTAATAAATTGACCGAATCAGCCGTTCATATATAACCAGATTCTGCAATGGGTGCTCTCGTGCCCTGGTATATTTCTGTGTAAGATTTTGCAATCTGCAATCTTGCGTGAGCAAGAGAATCCCCTAATATAATGTTTTTTTTTTTTAAATAGCAAGACCAACAACAAAAGTGTAATCCCTGCAGAGTCCGCCGCTTCAGCAACCGAAGACGGCGTCCAACAAAGATAAATAGTTCATATTTATATGCTGAATAGGGTATATTATTTTTGCCACGAAGTTTGTGACATCCGTATACAAGTATAAATAATCAGCGTGACGAGCTGAGTCCATTTAGTCATGTTTGTCTGTCTATCACATCTGAAATTTGTCGGAATAWCCGATAACGTATCACTATGGCGAACAGTTTCCATACAAACTGAACGACTAAAATGCAATCCTTTTATGGAAAACTTTTTATTATTTGACAAGATATATTTACGAAATTTGGCATAAATTATTGTTCAAGGCAGCGCTATAATTTCGGAGCATATTATTCACATCAGACCACTATGTTATATGGCTGTCGTACAATCCAAGTGATGAATATCAAGATAAGGCCTTTTTATCCCCTTTGWTGCTATACGTATGAAGTCGCATTTAACGTGTTGACTTGTTTTTAATGACACTTAAATAAGCAGTCTGTCATATAATATTATGATTATTTTTATTGTATTCTTTTAGTTGGAAGGCGATCAATTCGTTGCTGGCGCTGCTAATGCCAGTGGCGCCGAAGAAGACGCTGCGCAACCACAACAGACAAAAACCGCGTCGCTCAATATGGATTTGCCCAAGTTTGATGAGAAGAACGCTGATGGTGGTAGCGGTGCTACTAAAARTGGTGATGCTGCTGCAGGTGGTGATGCTGGCGCTGCTCGCATCGAGTCCGTCGATACCAGCATCGTATAGTATGAGCTATGGGATGATTTGAAACGGCTGTACTTTTGGTTGGGACATTTGAAATCGTGCGTTCAACAAGACAAAATTGTTTATCATTGCCTTAGTCTTCCGTCAACACTCGCATCTACGGAATTTCCAAATGAAATCTGATGTTCCAATTCGAAACGCGGTTACTTAGGTTAGTGTTACAGTATGAGCCAACGCACACATTTTTAATGAAATGAAAAATTAAAAAAAAAAAAAAAAAAAAAAAAATTGTAAAAATGTTTGCGAAACAAACAACAAACTTACATACATATATTGAATGAAGAAATGAAACATTTAGAAGCAACTTGTGCGTTTAGTTTCATTAATTTAGAATATTTCCCATTTCGCTGAGACTTTTGCTCTCTCGTTTTCCTCTTAACATATTATAAAACAAGAATACACATTTGCTTTTCTTTTTTATACAAGAACATTAAATAAAATATTAAACTTGTGAAATAATGAATTATTATATATAAAAAATTCTGTCTTGATCTCTTACACCGAAACAATGGTACTCTTCACAAAGAAAAAAGTTTTCTGTAAGTTGATTTCGATCTGTTATTGTTTTTGTAGTRGGCTGTTTAGTTGGAGTCGGACCAAAGAGAGAGGGGTGTTAAATGTGTGGGTTTAGTGTGGCATGCAAAGAGGTGGCTAGCGTAATGTGGGGACTCTTTGAAGGCAGGACGTATGCTTTGTATATTGGGATCTATTCTGGATAGGTAAGAATTTGGACTCCTACAGTTTCGAGAACGAGTTTACGCTATGATCAATTTGATCTTATACGGCTACAAGAGCTCACTGTCAGCGATCGGTGGCATTTCAACTCGGATACAATTACAAATCTCCGATAGTGCAGACTCTCAAAAGTAATACCCGAAATTTTGGGGTTGTTTACTAACGGAATTTTACCCCCATGAACAAAAGTTTTGCGATCTGGTCTGTACTCCTTCATTAGTGAATAGAGACGCTGTGGATTTAGGGTTCCTTTCAGTGGAGAAGCGAGAAATGTCAAGGAATACCAGCCATCGACTCTAGTGTCCCACGTGATTATTGTACAACCAGCAACGTACGAGGTAATATAAGTGCCTTCAGAGGAAGAAGAAGGTTTCCTGATGTATTGTCAAACAGCTCAGTGTGACCAAACATACTTATATATTTTTCAGTGCCGCCAGTCTGTTTGAGCAATTAGTATAAGGAGTTCCATGGGTTACTCATCCGTTGGAAAATCGAAGACAGCTTATGTTATATATACATACATACTTCAATCTTACACATCATTGACTTTTTGTTCCATATTTATTGTATATTTATTTGCATTTATTGTTATTTTTTAAATATCTGTTCCCATATCGACAAAATATTTATAATTAAGTGAGTGGTGGGCTGAAAATGACATTCTTTGGTTGTGTTTTGTCCACAAGTTAATTGATTTTCAAATCACTATGAAAGTTACTTAATTTAGGTATTTAAATACTAATAAATCTATTCTAAACGTTTTTTGAATCGTTAAAAATCTAGTTTAAGTTATRTACATCTTATATATAAGTACATTACAGCTGTTTAGATTTAAGTAAAAATAACTTTAAGCATTTTTTCGACTTAAATATAATTTAATACTTTTTTAATTGTTATACTATTATCTATAATGGAATGTTCATTAAGAGTATATTCCTCGAATGGTAATTCATGATTTTTTTAGTTATAAAATAGTTTTCAAGTCGCTACATATATTTTTTTGTAGAAAGTGACATTTTTTTGTTGTTTAAAATATTTTTCTGTTTAAAATTGAAATCTTAAAGCTGAGTTTTAATTGCTCTCCACGTGTATGCTGAAATTTTAATAATTTTCAATTCGCYTGTAATCAGGGTTGCAAATAATGCCTTAAATGCATTAAAAATGGTTTTTTTACTTGCTAATCCCGAAGTTCTGAATTATAAATAATTTGTATACTTATAATCTCTATATACTACTAGTACTAATAAMGTTTATAGATAAAAATTAAAAAATAATTTGGTTTTGCGTACTTCGTTACTATTTTTAATTAAAGCTCACACTAAGCCATCATTTTCAATACTCTAGAATGGGTGTCGGCAAGCTTACACATTTAATCTAATTATATTTTATCAGTTCTTAATTTTGATGCTTATTTTGCAATTAAAATTAAATGATCTACTTCATCAATGTTTAATCACAATTTTTGAAAAAAAAAAAATGAATTCTAATTTTTAAAAACTTAAAGTTTTTACTAACTTAAATGGCCTTTTTAATTAAAAAAAGAAGAATATTTGGTTCTCTTCTATGTAATGTATATATAATTATGTTTTTAATTTTTTCCCTTTTTTAGGTTCATATTTTCTTCTTAGTTATTTTTCGTACCATTAAATACAATGAGTTATTCAAATTTCAAAGAGTCTCTTATCGGTGACCTGTTTTTCTATTTAACTGCGAAAATTCAGGAGAAAGTACTCTCCTTAAAATAAAGTGTTAAAAGACTGCTACTGCGCTGAGTATCCATTTAGTTTTCAGTTTATAACAGTTTATAAAGTATTTAAGAATATAAAGAGTTATTGATGATTCGCTCGAAGATTTCATCAATACTGAAAAGAAAATTTTAGTTGCAAATGTTAATTTCTATGCCTTTGTTAAAATTCCCACTCTCTCCTTCAATCCACTTATAATTTCGCCTGCCAAATCARGCTATCACTCCCCCGCTGAACCCGTTTGAGGCGTTTTTCTTGTTGTCTGTCAGATTATCATGATCGAGGAGGGCCGTACTTACTTAAGAGACTGCGTAAAGTCTCAGCATATGCACAGGCGCTGAGAGGCTATATGGATATTAGTGAAATTTAATGTAAGCTGCTTCCATTTCGCATAAAAATGGTCCTAAAAGTAGACTTCCATTTTATATTTTTTAATTACTTCATTCGGTCAACTTAATTATCGTGTATATAATTATGATTTTGAATTTTTTCAAGTATTCCCGAAATGATTCACCGTAACAGCTTTTCTACAGCACATTCACYTTTGCTGTTGCGTCAGCTTTTCTTCCCATCACTGGCGTTCGTAACGTAATGGCGTTTGATGTCGACGGTGAAGGCGTACGATCGATAAATTCAATATTTTCGCCATCCTTTGTGTTCGATGAAAGTTGAATTTTGGTCTGCTGAGACGTTGYTATTCCCATTATTGAGCTGTGATGTTGACATTTCGTACAAAGCGGTGGCAACGCTGTAGCTCCTCCCAGATTGGTTGTACTCGTCTTTGGTGTGGAAATCGTGTTGCTACTTAAAGCATTTATTGTTGTAGTTAGGGGCACGGAGGAATTGCGTTTTACGGTTATTGGTTGGCTAGCGTTAACATTTCCATTTGTCGTCGTCGTCGTAGTYACACTGATAATTTCATCGTTATCGCCATCATCACTAAAATGCATCGACGTTGGCTTCTCTTGAATTGGCGCTAAACTTGTCACGATTGAATTCGCCATAGCGTGTTCGAGTTCGCGTTGCCAATCGTTTTCTTTTTTTTCCATTGCTTTTCGTTTGAGTTCCTTATATCGATTGTAAACTATAAACTCCTTGATAAGCACCGTTTCGGGGTCGCTGTCACGTTGTGCCGATCGCTGTTTGGCTAAACGCTTCTTCTTCTTATGCAGCGGTCGYGTTTCTACAATCATTTCCTCCAGTTCTAAACACGGATCACAATTGAGGTGATCCTCAGGTGGCTTGAATGGTGGTATTGTTGTTTTCTCCAGTATACTTTTGAAGTCCGTGTGCCGTAGAAGTGGTGTTTGTTGTATCTCCTGCTGAGAGCTGATACGTGCGCCGGGATGTACACAGAGCAGCTGTAAAACAACAAAATATGTATGGGTTTTATTATTACTCTTTACACAAATGTAATATCTTACCTTTGTCAGCAAATCAATGAAATTATGACTCCAATAACGTGGATAGTGCACCGGTGACGTTAATATATTTTTCACCTCCGCCAATCCCGTATGCGAATGCACGATAAAGGGTCGCACATTGGCACGCATTTCATATGCAACTACMCCGAGGGACCACCAATCGACAGGAAAACTGTAACCCGCTGAAATTGTTTATWTTAATATAGATTCATTAAACAGATSAAACTACCGCGACGAGCTTACCTATTTCCTCTAATGCACACATGAATACTTCTGGCGCCATATACGGTTTGGTTCCAGACATGCTGCATGCGAGTCCGTCCTTTTGCAGTCTTGTAGCTATATTAAAATCAGTCAAATGTGCATGTCCTAAAATACCGAAAAGATAAAAAAAAAAAACGACACACAACATGATGTGATTAATGTTAAGAATTAAGGCACATACGTGATATTCTAAAAACAAAGTCGAAACATACTCGAGTTAACTCAATTTCTTGTTATTAACTTTTATTTTTCAAAAATTGTGAAACTGCATTTATATAAATTTTAAATGGCCTCTTAATACCTCCTAATGACGATAAGACCGAAAAACTTAAATTAAATGTGCCTAAAAGTCGTTGTGTTTGCATCAGAGAGAGAGCAAGGGATCTCAATATCTCTTACATTGACCTACACTCATTTTRGTGCGTAAGATTTTATACCTAATTTTGGATGTATTTTGTGAGTTGATACGAGAAAACAAGTCACATTTTCCATATCAGCTCTTGTTCATAAGAAAGAAGAAACAAACATCTAATAGCGGGAATGTGGTTCATCCTACCTACCTGATACGCACAGAGCTGCACCAAACCAAAAAGTTTTTGTTTGTAGACCAGAGTAATTGGCTTATGCACATAAATTGCCAGAAGCCAATATTTGAAACGGCTGACCTCATGCAGGACAGTACGATACAAGCTTACATTACCTAGTGTATGTCAGGGCGTATGAGTGATGCGCGATGCGATGGCTGTGCTTGCAAACATAGTCTACGGGGAAATTAAAATAAGAATTGTAGGTAAACTAGAGCTGTCAGCTGACATCTAGTAGCGGGAATGTGGTTCACCCTACCTACTATAGCGCATAGAACTGCACAAAACCAAACATTTTTTTTGTAGGCCAGYGTTATGGATCGAGACATCCAATTGGGTTAATGTTGTGACAACGTAGCTGAGTCCGTGTAAAATCTTGTCAGATTTAGTAGTTTCATTTACACGATTTTCTACTCGGCTTGCACTCCTGCTCTCTGAGGGCATTGGGCATTCATCAACAACTCGGTATAAGGGAACTGTGGGACGGCATTTAAACTCCTGCAGCTGCAACCGAAACAATTGGTTTTCGGAAAATGCAAAAGAACAGCTGGTACGATGAGGAGTGCCGTGTCGTAGCGGAGAGAAAACAGACCTTGCAATGTTACAATCGACCACAACCCGTGGATTTTGAGAGTTGAAGAGGGAAGTGAGAAGCATTTGCAGACAAAATTAGAGAGAGGCTGAAATGCGCGAATAAGAAAAGCTTGACAAGTTAACCGACTGGGGTAATCCTTGAAAATTCTACGAAAAGATGCGGTGAYTAACAGCATGTTGCACGACCGGAGCACACTCTTGTAGAAACCCAAGAGGTGATCTGATAACCGCCCTGGACGAGCATACTAAAATTGGAATCCACAAACAGGGAGACCCTACAATCTGTTCCAAYTACCGTGGGATAAGTCTCTATCTTTTATCAAGTGTATTGTGTGAAAGATTAAAGCCCAACAAACGTCAATAAATTGATTGGACCTTATCAGTGTGGCTTCAGACCTGGAAAATGAACAACCGACCAGATATTCACAATGCGCCAAATCTTGGAAAAGACCCGTGAAAGGAGATTCGACACTCACCACCTCTTCGTCGATTTCAAAGCTGCTTTTGACAGCACGAAAAGGAGCTGCCTTTATACCGCGATGTCTGAATTTGGTATCCCCGGAAAACTAATACGCCTGAGTAAGCTGAGCAATACCAAAAGCTCWGTTAGGATCGGGAAGGTCCTCTCCGAACCGTTCGATACCAAATGAGATTTTTGACATGGCGACATTCCATCTGCAGGAACGTAATCGARCAGGTAYAATCTTTTATAAGAGTGTACAGCTGCTGGCGTATGCCGATGATATTGATATCATTGGCCTCAACATTCGCGCCATTARTTCTGCTTTCTTCAGACTGGATAACGAAGCGACGCAGATTRGCAGTGAACGAGGTCAAGGCGAATATCTCCTGTCATCAAACAAACAGTCGTCGCACTCGCGACTTGGCTCTCACGTCGCTATTGACAGTCATAACTTCGAAGTTGTAGATAATTTCGTTTATCTTGGAATCAGCATTAACAGCAAACACAATGTCTGTCTCGAAATCTAACGCAGAATAACTCTTTCCAACAGGTGCTACTTTGGTCTGAGTAGGTAATTGAGAAGTAAAGTCTTCTCTCGACGAGCAAAAAACAAACTCTATAAGTCACTAATTTTTCCCGTCCTGCTCTATGCTGCAGAGGCAGATGGATGGCATAGGAAGATGACATCCGAAAAGTCGACGTTACGAGTTTTCGAGAGAAAGGTTCTGCGAAAGATTTATGGTTCTTTGCGCATTGGCTACGGTGAATATCTCATTTGATGGAACGGTGAGCTGTATGAGAYATACGACGACATTTACATAGTTCAGCGAATCAAGAGACAGCGGATACGCTGGCTAGGTCATGTCGTATGTATGGACGAAAACACTCCAGCTATGAAAGTATTCGACGCAATACCCTCCGGGGGAAGCAGAGGAAGARGAGGATCTCCACTCCGTTTGAACCAGGTTGAGAAGGACCTGCCTTCGCTTGGCATTTCCAAGCAAGTAATGTCTATATAAATTCCGCACTGAAGTTCCCATTAGAATTATAAAAGAGTTATGTTCTTTTATAGCTAAAAATAGTAGAATCAGAAGCGCAACCATCTCCCATGTCAATTAAATCTATAAAATGTAAACAACTCTATAAACACTAATGATGCTAAAATCGTTTAGTAGCTAAACTGATAATTTGAAAATGTTTTTTGCTGACGATATATCGTTCTGGATATTTACAATCGATAATTAACACTGCACTTTGTTCGTACCTCACGATTGCATGCGTGATATTAATAAAGTATCTTAAAGTAAAAMATTAAAATTAAAATTTATAAATTTGACATTCCCATCCAATTGAAACAATTAATTGAGCTCGCTAAAAGTAACTGCCGACCGCTTATCCGCCTCGCGGACAGGGTTCCCATCTTCAATGGCGTAAATATTCAATTCACACATATGAGTGTCGGCACAGCATTGCATTTGCACATTATTAGTATTTGGGAAGACCAAATATTTGGGTGGCAAAGGTTAAACGAGTGTATATTGTATGTGTATACGTTGGTATGTCAACATGACCTCGGCACATGGAATGTCGAGAAAATAACCGTGACCGCGATTCAATTCAATTCAATCCATATGAATGCACAGATTGAAATGAGTTTTTGGAATGTTTWCCGCTGGGCACATATTGTTTGGCAGTTTTCCGAGAAATTAGGTAAAACGCAAACGCACCATCATTCCTATTCAAATGAAATTCACCAGAAAGCTTTGTTGTTGTTGTATTCAATTGTATATTTTTTTAACATGAAGCAGCAGGGTGATATAAGCAGAGGTACTTTTTTCAATAGCCTATTTTTGACAGATCACGCRTGAGACGTGTCAAGCTGTCATGTAAGTTTTGCTCAGTATTGTTTGGCATTCCATCGTGGAAAGACTTATAACTGAACAACGTTTATAAATCGTTCAACTTTATTAAGAAAATTTACGTTTTGAACGCGAGCTTTGTTCAACTAATGGTCAACATAATCGGCCTACTGAGCGTAGTAGTTCTAACCCATCACTCATCTTGGGACCCATCATTCATTATTTTATAATATTCTACTGAACGTACAGCACGCATTGAAGAAAATATAGCAGCCGTAATTGAGAGTATACACCAAGACCGTGGAGAGTCGATTCGGTGCCGTTCGCAGAAACTYGGGTTCACATAAGGAAGGATTTGGTTCATTTTACGCCGAGATTTTAATTTGAAGCGGATAAAAAAAGCTCGAGCAAAAACTGAAGCCGCTCGACCTTTTCAAGCGACATTGCTTCGCTCTATGTGCTCTCGAAAAGTTCCAAGAAGATCCGAAGTTTCCGAACCAAATTTTGTTCAGCGATGCGGCCCATTTCTGACTCAATGGGTAYGTAAACAACCGCAGCAATCTTAAGCGATTCATCAGCTGCCATTTCATTCAGAAAAACACTTATTTGGTCTGCTTTGTGAGCCGGTGGAATCATCGGTCCATATTCTTTCAAAAATGATGCCGGCGAAAACGTTAGCGTTAATGGCGGCCGTTATCGCGTCATGATAAGCAATAATTTGATACCTGGAATTTAAGCTCGTGATTTCTGTGATACATATTTGATTTCAACTAGACGGCACCACTTTTTACACATCGCATCAATCAATGGATTTATTGAGATAAAACTTCGGTGAGCAGATGATTTTACGTTTTGGGGTGGTCGATTTGCCACCAATATCGTCTGCTATCACACTGTTAGACGTTTTCCTGAGAGCATAAGTAAAGTCTAAAGTCTATGCGCACAAWCTMGCCTCGATTCAGGCTTTGAAGCAAAMCATCACGCGTGTCAATCGCCAGTTACCAGTCAAAATGTTCGAACGAGTCATCRAAAATTGGACTCAACGGWTRGACCRTCTGAGATGTAGGCGCGCYCAACATTTTAAARAGAKAATCTTCAAAAAATAAATGCCTAAGAATKTTATTTCGAATGACAATAAACATTCACCAATAAATTTAAAGTAAAAAARCACTTCTTTAAAAAAGTTGGGAACCTCGAAATGGATCACCCTTTATTTGATTATACCATGCGCAATGATGCGCAAGGACCGCCATTCGCTTGGGAGTGGCCAGAAACGATTAATTTACACATGACTCAAGGAGTTCACGAGTTTCGGTATTAGATCAAGCAACCCAGAGGCCAAAAMACATCCGTTTGAAGGCGGCGCCCGAAATATATGCACGTCAACAAACACAAGGAAGGTTCGACCGTTCCTTTATCTGTCCCATATGTATCTACTACAATAGCTCAAAGGTATTTGGCCCATCAATCAAAGTCAAACTTTTTTGAATGAAAGCATAGTTTTACTTTTCGACATAATCTCTTTCTTGAGTAATACGTATATTTATTGTAACAGAGCTCCAAAAGGATTCCATATGGTTTTTCTAAAAAAAATCATTTTTGAGCACGCAACTTTTTGTGTCTCGGAAAGACAGAATARTTGCTGGGAAATAAACCTGACGAATGCGTTGGGTCAGGGACTGGTTTATAGTGCAATTCCTTCACTACGTAGTCGGTTGCCTTGGTGAAAGAGTAAATCGACACACAACGCGCGGAAAACTTTTTTATCATAAAATTTGGCAAAGCTTTATGAATATTCGCAATGTTTTCTCGCTTTGTTGTCTCTTGCGGCTATCCTGAAAATAATATATATTTTTTGCTGATGCGGTTATGGCGAAATTCAACAAATTGGTCCGAGCAGTCAAGACTGTTGAAAAGTCATCATCAAAAAAATTTCTAAGCAAAATATCAAAGGGTTAACTTTAAGACCAATAGTATTAGAACGATTAAATGAAATTTTATGAAACTTTGGAATATTAAAGCTAAATTCTTATTTACGGCAATCTTTCGGTTAAGCTATGTAGCTAGCAAAAATAATTGACATGGGTAGACCTCTTACCTCCTGAACAGACGAATATTGGAGTTATAATCAAGTTTTACTAGGGCACTCTAGTAAATACATATATTCATACAAATGCATTTTTGAACTATCTCACACATCTTGATAGCGATATAACGGTAACAAAAAATTTTTATCAGCTATGATACACGAACATGTCGCTACGAAGTTGAATTGCATATGCTCAATGTACCATCAGTGATACATTTAATAAACTTATTTCCAATAAGCCAAAAATTTGTTCATATATGATACATGGACGCTGTACACATGGTACAAGAAAATAATTTTGTATCACATGTGATACATTGGACAGGGAACCTGTTAAAGACATTTCGATACACTTACCAGCACCATCCAAAAGAATGTTATCTGGCTTGATATCCCTGTTGAAAATATAGAAAATACAAAATGTAGAGACTTATTATTTACATATGTATATTATAAAAAAAAAAAAAAAATCAAAAGGATTATTTCACCCACCTATGCACCACCCTTTGCTTCTGCAAGTATTCTAAAGCACTTCCCAACTCACACACTAATAAGGCAACACTTTTTTCGCTGAATTCCACCTGAAAAATTAATAAATTGGAGAATATTATGGCGTCAACATATATATATGTAAAAAAAAGCTCTCTACATACATGCATACATACATARATATATACTTAGTGCTTAGMCAAATAATTGTTGAGAGAACAAGGATGTTAATGCTGTCAGTTTCCATAAAAAAAGTCGTATGTAAAAGTGTGTGTATGTAATACGTATTTATGAATACTATATATGTACACATGACCACCAAATCATAACTTCAGTGTGTTGAAGGCGCTCTGTGTGTGCATGCACTTGAGTGTTTGCTACTTAAAAATAAATATATCACGTACATGTCATATGTATGCATATGGGAATATACATATGTGTATGTATTATAAATAATTGCACTCACCCGATTTTGTAGATGATACCTTAAATCACCGCCAGTCAGTAAATCACACACCATAAATAAATCCTCCTCATCTGGTTTGACCGAAGTAGCAAATGGCAAAAGTGAAAATATTTACATGCAAATGCGTATGTATAATAGGTATATATGATATAGGTATATATTAGAAAATTATAACTGAACTGAAAGCTAACCAATATATACGAGTATATGATTCACAAGGTGTATGCGCTTATAATCAAGGTTGAATATATTCRCAGTTGTGCATTGAACGGGAAAAATTATGGCATCTTTTTATATGCATGAGTATATATAGACATASGAGTGCGATCCGTTATGTATATAATCTAAGAAATGGTTGCATTTTTTCGGCCGATAGGACAATCTTCGCCTTTCTTCCAGGCAGCTTCACCGAGTGTTTCTACTGCACTCTTATGTTTACAAGTTGATCCATATTTTGCTGACGGATTGCGCTTAAACAGTGYCCAACACTGCTGCAAAGTGGTCTCACCTTTATAATTGTTATTCGGATTAAGCGTCGTCGTATATGTATATTCTCCAAGAACTATCGGGTACGTTTTGTAAATACGAGATCATGGACTTTTTTTACATTATCCACCGTGGTAACCAGTTTTTTTTTAGCAGTTTTGATAATCATCATTTGAAGAAGAAGGGTCACCGTGCGTAGCATCAATGCGATTTTGCTTCCAAAAAAAAGAATCGAATCACTACAAGACGCGGTCAAAGGTGGTTAGATAGACTGGCTGTCTAATGACGCACTTTGGCCTTTAGGATACTCATTGTAAAACCATGTTTTACCTGTGGAACCTCCGAAACAACGTCAAGAAACCTATAAAAGTCTTCCTTGTCAGAACAAGAAAAATTTTTTAATTACTTTCATCTCCGCCTGAAAGTTACTGCAGGCGGAAGACGACTTTAGTATCTATTTTTGCTGAAAAGACACCACCCTGCACTCGATAACCTTGTTTGGACCTATCTGTATAGATCATTATCTGTGCATCTCTGGCTGCCTTTTCTCTTTCTGGAAGGAAGGCAATATTGTAAAATAATTTTAGTTAAATTATAAAGGATTACGAAAATCCGTGGTAGTGGTACTTAGTACCTTAGAACGTCCCTTATTGCAGGGGACTAGGAGAGAAGATCCTTCAGTCTAAGTGCTTGCTTTGCTGCCAGTTGTTGACTATTGCAGTGTCCTCCAGCCTCATTCAGAGAAGTTATCATTTACTCAGATACCAGAGCGGCTAGCCTTGAACTTATTTACAGTGCGTGCGAGGAGTTCCCAACCTTACTACCAATATCATCGAGTGACTTTGTAATAAGACTGGTTTGGGTCCCTGGCCGTAGAGGAATCGCAGGAAATCGTAAAGCTGAAGAKCTGGCAAGGAAAGGCTTATTAGAACCACTATCGATAGAATGGGAGCTTGACCTGCGCTGGGCCAACATCGGTACATACGCTGTCGCAAAGGCCTCTTGGCTCAAAATTTATTGCAGGAGATCTAGCGATCTCTTTACCTCAGGAAAGCTAGCCTCTCTCTGGTTCTGCGGCTTTTTACTGGTCATTGCTCTATTGACGTCCATGCTGTAAGGTTCGGAATCTTACCAGACAATCTTACAAATCTGTTTGGAAGRAGATGAGATGGAAACAACTCAACACTTTCTTCTTGATAATCCAGAGTTTGGGAAGTCAAGACTTAAACACTTGCTAGGTCATACCTTTACATCCCATCAAAATGGCGGCAGTTACAATTAAACGCATATGCAAATGTGTATTGTCAGTCCTTCTGCGATCTTCGACCTGCCATCAAACCTAACTTAATCTGTTTACCTAACAAGTTTGTCGACAGTAAATGTAAAATAATGTTCAGTGCTTGATTTGGCGATGTGCTAAGAACTCCACTGACTTATATATTAGCTACTCTTGTATGCTTTCCATACGCCCGACCACGTATTTCTTTTYCATTATTGGCCACCATACCAAAATACCTTACAACTGCGGTGTAGAGCCAATAAGAGACTCGAGCTGTTACTGCCCATTTTGGTCTCCCCATCCTTTTACAGGTGTAAATTACTGTAGCTGTTTGAAAAATACTAGCTATAATTTACTATAAGTATGTTCGCACGATTCGACCCATCAAATCAAAACAACGAGTACGATTTGGCAGAAATTTGGGCAATAATCGTCTACGAGAATATTCTATACGATATTAAATTTTTCTTAAGTTAGTAACGCRATCTGGCTAAGTAATAAACGGACTTTCCTCGTGCTTATGCTTAGACCGAATAGAAATGGTGAAATTATGGTAAYATTTTACATGGCAGAACATGTATATACATATGTTACATGGCGATGAGTGAGGTGCGCGAAAACCAAGAACATACATAATATACATGTGTACTATAGGCATGAAAAAGTTGATGACCACTTGTGAAACACATATACTCGCACATACTGAAAAGTTTACCTGCACTCTAGCTWTTAAACATACTCTCATTCACGCAAACGAAATTACCTTGAAATGAAAACCACAGATTCACCAGAAATGGATGTTCCAGCGAGGCAAGCAATTCCACTTCTTTGATAACACCACCCAGCGCACCGCGCGACTCGCACGCCGACCGACTGACATATTTCATGGCATAGAGTATGCCACTATCACGTTTCTGTACGATGCACACCTGTGCGTTTGATTGGTTGGCCGGTAGATGAATATCAAAGCGAGTTGAAATGTGGAATGAAAGAAAAAAAAAAAAAGCCGTTAGTGCAAAATAAACTTTTGCGGTTGTGTAGAAAATTATGATGAGATTAGCAGTTGTGTTAACATTGATAATGCAGGTGAGCTTTAGCTTGTTAACTAACGGTCTTTTTATCTATATAGAAACTAAATCTTTAAAGTAATTTATAAAGCAAGTTTTCGACAAAAGTACTTGAAACAATTGTAGGAGGCAGTTTTTCGCACAAAAAATTAGAAAGCGGTCTTAAGTGAATCCTAATAACCCACGCAGTAAAATAAAAAATATTACGTAATGGGCAAAAATATTAAAAATGTCTTGTTGTTTGGCAATTTAATAGATCAATTCTAAAGTAAGCAAGATTCATAATACACTATTTCTTCTTCTTTAATGGCGAGTTTACAACAGTKCGCCAGTTTTTCTCCCTTTTCGCTGTTTGGCGCCAGGTCGTTCTCCATGACCTAACCAGTTTAGCCGCTGTCATTTAATTCGCTGTATTATCATATTGTCTTCGTATACCTTGTATAGCTCATCGCGCAAAGTCGACAGACTCTATTTATGGAGRTCTTAATAGGTGGAATTCAAAGTTGTCTGAAAAACGAAGAGAAAAGCTTTATCTCAATAATTCTATTGCACCGTCCAGTTTCCGCAAGTCTTTTATTTCAATATACTTTTAAGTCGCCTCAACAGATTTGCGACAGGTTCCAAGTGTTTTGTCGATATTTGAAAGCTTATATCCATATTAGAATTTTTTTTGTATTAGAGTGGACATGTTTACAATTAATAAATAATTTTAGGCAAGTGATCGCCACAGCTGGCTCGAATAAATATGTATCAGTCGAGTATGTATTGTTCCATTGAAAACCATACGGCTAAAAGCAAACTACTCATTACAAATCGAGTATACGGTATAACCTGAGAACGGTAGCATCAACTTCAATCATAGTGAGAGCACAATGGTGTAAAGCTGTAAGTATCGTAAAAAAGAATATAAGTGTACACAGTATAATATATATTATAGTTGTACACACTCATATTTTCAGTACATCACTAATTGGTTTCAAATCGCGTGCTTARCTATTATTACTTTAAATACATTTTTTCACGCTTAGTTAAATATGCAACTATAAAATTTTCAGTAATAATTTTATATAAACAATTTATCGCACATTATAAACAATTAGATTGATGAATGTCACATAAGTGGAATTTATTACTGAATGTTTCTCGTATAATATATAAAAAATTGTATTATGTTCTTAAATTTACGGTGAAGTATTTACTAGTTTCAAAATTACTAAAATCAATTTTTTCATATTTCAATGATCGATCCATTTAAAAAATAAAATACCAAAAATTTAAATCGTCATTTACTTATAATAGGCTTTAAGTTACAGCTATCTAAAACGTAACCGCMCAATTCAATGAKCTTAATCAGTTTATCTTACACCGGTGTACCAGTAAGAAGTGAACGTTAAGATACAATTGTGTTGGTAGGGAACATTTGTTGTGAACAACGCTTTATTTTTTTTCTGTTCGGTTGGCATGATATCTGTCAAACACATTCAATAACGTTACAGCCATTGAACAAACATCATATTTTTTCATTGTGCTGAAAATGTTAAATTTTTTACCAAAAAGTGATGGTTTCGATTTGAAGAGGAGTGCTGCTGATTTGGATGTGRGAATAAAGAATGTGGTAGCCACGAAAAAAGTTTGAAGACTATGTATATTGGATGAAGGCGATCCATTGAGTCAAAAGCAAATGAAAAATCTTGCACAACAAAATATTTCAGACTGTTTCGAAGCTAAGGTGATCAAAAAGTGTGGAAAATGGTTGCYGTATGATTTGAATGAAAGACGGTTTAAAAACCGTAAAATCCCTTGTGAAATTTTGCTTCTAAGACATGACAGAAAATCTGTTTTGCATCGATATGTCACTGATGATGCAAAATGAATTTATTTTAAGAACACTAAACGGAGAAAATTATGGGTTAATCAGAGCAAACCATTAACATCGACTGCAAAAAGAGAACGATTTGGTAAGAAGGCAATGCTCTGTGTTTGGTGGGATCAGAAGTGTGTGGTATATCATAAGCTTCTATAAACTAGTGATACTGTTAATACTAATCCCTACAGACAACAAATGATTGATTTGAATGCATTCATCGAAAAATGAGCAGAACGGCACAGAAGACACGGAAAAGTAATTTTGTTATCGGTTCAGTAAAAGTAATTTTGTTATCGATTGCATTACAGTAGTTGGCTAGGAGGTGCTAACTCACTCGCCGTTTTCATCAGACTTGACCCCTTACAAATACTCTTTTGTTTTCGTCGAGGGGACATGCATTGGCTGATCGGCTATTCGATTCCTACGTAGAAGACGAAAATTGAGTGTCTGATTGGTTTGCTTCAATTTCTATTAGTATATTATCCACAATCGATGGAAAGGTGTTAAAATTGCTATTACTTTTTTACTTTCCCATTCAAAATAGTATTTAGAAAGTTCGAAATTACACATTATTTYCATCATAAGTCATATCTGCGAAGAAAAGGACTTTGAGCAGTAAGTACAAAATTTTATAGTTCTCCCCCAAAATTCTACTTTGGATCCGCGCCTGAAAAGACTTGAATCACTGCAAATTTGGAGGATCTTATTTATAAGAAATCGGACGAAACTCTAAAAATATTTAAATTTTTTCTGAAATAGTTTTATATATATATTTTCCCATAGTTCCTAGGTGGAACATAGGGCCCCAGTAAACAAATTATAATTCATTTTATTTACAGCTATAAATTTAATCTCTCTCCAAGAATAACCACTTCTCTGTGCTTCTGCTTCGACTTAGCGTCTCTTGGTGTTGGCTGGTCTACCGTTTCTTCGGCTTCCTTGCGGACTCTAATCTAACGCTGTAAGACTTTCGCAGAGTGTGACCAGCCCAGAGGTTAGCATTGCTAATAACGTTAGGCCAAAATGTCCGCAAAATTTTTGCAATTGTAAAACATTCGCTGCAATATTCCACGTCTCGCAGCATATATAACACAACGGGTTTCCCGCTTGAATCGAATATTTTTAGTTTCGTACGTATGGATATATAGTATGTGTTGATCTCCAGACTTTATCCAACATTCCAAGGCGCGACCTTTGGATATACGGTTGCGTTATCGGCTGCTGATCCACCATTTTTAGATAGGATGCTACCTAAATAGCAAAACTCGKCGACTTCTTCGAGACTTGTTCCAGCGATCTGTAGGATTGGCGTTTCGGTTGTGTTGATTTTCTTGAATTTTGTCTTCGCTATATTAATTTTAGGTGCTGTTTGTGCGGCGAGATCACTAACAGCTTCAAGTTTCAAGCTGTTTTATTAAGTTAATTAATTTTTCCGCAACTCCTTTGTATACTTGGGCTCTCCAGATCGCATCATGTTTGAGAGTGTCGAAAACTTTCTCAAAAATCTCGATAAAGCAAAAGTAGAGATGTGATCGACACATGAGCAATGGGTCTGAACCAGCTTGTTCTTTACGTAGTCCATGCATCAGCGAATCAAATAACCTTTTGGGAATTATGTGTGTTATTATTTTATTCACCATACTTAGTTCTCTCCAATTTTTACATTCCGATAAATTTCCCTTCGTCGGAAGAGAGTAATAACACCTTCTTTCAACTCGTCTGCTATCTTTTCTGAGGCCCAAATATGTTTGAGTAGAGGAAACAGTATCCGCGCAGTCTGAGGATCAGCTTTTAGGAGTTCTGGGTTGATGTTATCTAGCCCAGGAGTTTTGTTGTTCTTTAATGCTCTGATATCAGTCATTATCTCCGTCTCATTCGGGTACGTGGTGTGAATGTCACGTTTTGGTATGTGACGTTGGCAACCGCATGACTGAATAGCCTCCGACGAAGTTGGTGAGAGCAATTTTTCATAATAACGCTCCCAGATGGTAGTATGGTTATCTTTGGCCGTTGTCTACATGCCATCTTCATCTTTTAACGGTTTGGAGGTTTTGAGTGTTGCGTTAGTCAGTTGCCATATCGTTTGATACAGGTTCCGAGTGCGGTACGTTTCCGCGGCCTCCTGCGCTTTTCTAGCTAAATTGTCACTCCAGATTCGTTTATCCGTTCTCTTTATCACATTGTCGGTTTTGCTGCAAGATGATTTTCAGTCATTCGATCTGGAGATGTCCAAGTTATTTTGTAAATGGGTGGTCCATTCAGCTAATACCAAAAATGGGCAAATGGGGTTGGTGATGCGAATATATAGCCTATCCCTCCCAAACGTCAACCTCACCTTCGCGCGGTACCCCCTTTTCACTACGACTGAGGCTCTGACGACCGAGTGAAGGCGGTATATACTTAACACTTGCGAGGAGGAAATTCCTACGCCATTGCCTGCCTAGAGGCGAAACCGGCAGCCCTGGAACTAGGCTCGGATGCAGAAGGCTAATCACTTACTCATCTTAAATCCTSTGATTACCGAAACCGAAATAAACAAAGTAAAGATTAAGAACGATAAATAGTTTTAAAAATTTCTAAAATATATCCTTACAGCTCAAAAAAAAATTTTTTATTCTTAAAAATCGCTTTTGTTCGGTTTGCAGATGAGACTATTCAGAATTGGGTAGAGAATTTAGTTATTACAATTAGTAAYTGATAATCTAAAAACTATTTTGATTTTATTTTATTTATTTTTGTAAAATGTTCGTTAAAATTAAATATATAATTGTGAATAATACTACTTAATTTTGGAGACTTACATACATATGTACATATACCTAAATTTATCGTCAATGAAATTGTAAATGGGATAATTAGTGAGCTAATTATAAAAAACTACTGAAATTCTCTTAATGTTCATTTATGGTCTTTTTGAAAAAATATGATTACATAAATTACTATTTGTTTTATGTTACGTAATATAATATTTGACTTACCTTGCCAAAGCTGCCTTTGCCGATCGCCCGCAATATTTGAAARTGATCAAAATTAACTATACAAGAAAACGCCGCCGCCATTCATATAAAATAAATTGAATAAAGAATTTTTAAACACTGAGGTTAGAAAATATATATCAAAGTAATTGCGAATTAATTAATGAGTGCAACTTGTGACTATATTACTATAACTCGTGAAAGTTATTAATAATAGATACGTACTTCATTTCATTTAATGAAAGTCTTTAATTGATGAAAATAAGTTAATTTTTCGGTTATGTCTTTGTTTCTCCTCCTTTTTCAATAAGATAGATGTTGATTTGAAAAAGTATAGCTGGTATAGTCTGTATGCAACAAAGTAATCAGCCGATCATATAAAGTAGTACTTGTTCAAACTACCTATAGGAAGTGTAAAGACCACTACAGATAAGATTAGGTATGGATCCTAATAGAAAAAGGTGCTTCCAGAAATTTTAAAATATTTCTATATATTCCATATGTGTCAAGTTTTATTGCTATATTGTATGTGGTTGACTTTGTATGCTAGGGATAGTTCGTGCTCCTAAATTTAGTGTTTACTTATTCCAATTTTCAAATGTGGTCTTTAAATACTTAAAAGGTGTGGGTAATGTCTGAAGCATAAAATGTATGAGAAATTTTGCACACATTCATTGAAAAAAAATCAATCTCCCTCCCAAATACGTGAAGCTTACCATCTTCATCGTTCAGAAGGCTTGCATCTGATCTGCTCGACGAATTCGCCCCCATGTTGAATATGTATATGTAGGGTATATGCTGTTGTAGTAAATTTTCCGGCCTTTTACGTTCAAATTATTATATCGAGTTTATTATAATGAATTTGTTAACTAATGCTGACGAGGCAAAATGTGCTACGAATACATGATTAATGTTTTCGCAAAAAATATGAGTACTTATGGATATMTTCCTTGCATAGAAAAATTGCGCCTTTCATTCTTAACAGCTGCTCACTGTCAATATGACTATAAACGAGAGCATTAGAGTGAAGTATATTCCGAATACCAACAGAGTTTCGAACTCTATGTTAAATGTGAACTCGAGTTCCAAAGTCAGTTCTACGAATGTTTGTCTTGATTGATGAGTGCGAATAAGCATTGACGCTGCTTCTGGTGATTGAAATATCTATATTTTCCTCTGCCTCTGTTTGCTGTCTCCAGATGTACATATGTACMCTTTTTATATACATACATATATTTGTATATTTTTAGTTGGTTTCCGTTTAGATACTCAGTTTTTTATAACACATTAKCTGGGTTTACATATTCCATGTTCAAGTACAGGATATTTCGCATCATATAGCTCAAGTCCCAACTGCAAATGCATAAGAAAACAGAGGTAAAGATGTAGATATAAAGCAAAACTATTGATACTATTGCATGGTTTAAGCAATGGCCGAGTTTAAAATATTTTTTTCAAAAAATTTCAAAATTCTTTTGTTAATAGTGTATATTTGTAACAATAAAATTTTTAAATAAATATTTAATTTTTTATATGAGAAAAAAAATGTTAAAAAAGGCTGTTTTTTACACGAGGAAACCCATGTAACTCTTCAAGTTTGCATAAATTCAAAATGAAATTTTAATCGTTCTGGTCAATATAAACTAAATAYAATCAATCAGTGAAGATCATGAAGCCATCCAAAACATGCCATTTCTGTTAATGACGAGAAATTGAAATGTTTGGTTGGTCACTAAGTATTTTAGCGAAAATTCAATTCCAGGAAGGCGAAAATTATATGAGGTGTACAGATCAGATGTGTTGATCGAACGTCAATGCCAAAACTGGTTTTCAAAATTTCGTTCCAGAAATTTAGATCTTGAGGATGCTCCAGATCCTGGAAGGACTCTTGAAGCCGATGTTTATAAAATAAAATCATTGGTCGATGTAAATCAGCAAATAACAAATCAAAAGATTGCTGAATATTTAATTGTTCCAACGGAACCATTCAAAAGCACATCAAGCATCCAGGATTAACTTGGAAACTTGATATGGTATATGGCTTTCTCGTATTCTTACAGAATTTCTTTCGTAGCATTAACGACTATGATTTGTTTATCAAATATCAAAAAAATTATTAAATTTTGAAGCGCATAGTTCTTGGCTACCAAAAGTGGGCTGTTTACAAGAATATAAACTCAAGAAATTATGGACTAAAGAAGATGAACCAGATCAAGCAGATTAGGTTCAGGAGRTCGTYTATTTTGAGCTTTTGCCCGACAGTATCACGATTAATTTTGAAGTGTATTCTTTTAAGTTGGAACTCAGAATTGATTAATAGGAATAATTTAGTATCCCACAAGGATAATGAGAAACCACATACAAATTTGTTGACTCGTCAAAAGCTTTTTTAACTTCATTGGGATGTGCTATCGCACCTATCTTATTCTCCAGACCTTCGGTCTATTACTTGTTCCGCTGTTCGTTGGAACCTTGACCTCGCATCTGGATGTGGAAAACTACCTGAACTAGTTTTTTGCTTGCAAGGATCCAAAATTGTGTGTGCGTGAAATCAATCTCTTGCACGGCAGATAGCAAAATGTATTGGTTAAAAACAAAGAATATATATTTTCATAAAATATTTTACACAATAAAAAATTGTATTTAAATTTCACTAWAAAAACGAAATTACTTAGTGAACCACCCATTAGTAGTTCAAGGTTTCATTTATTTGTCCAGCTTTGAGCTCCCAAGTGTAATAAAAAAAAACATTACAATTGCATAAACAGAAAGATTTACTTTTATTTCACTTTTTTAGTTAAATATGTTTACCATCTGGACCTTGAACAATTCGAAAGATTCAAACTGAGATAAGTGATTTCATTGTCCTTTGGACGAATTAAGATATTTGAATCACTGTGGTTCCAATGAAATTGTGCAGACAACATAATTTGTTCAATTATAAAATCAACTTACTTGACTATTGTAAGGGTACATTTTTTTTTTTTTTTTTTATTTTTTTATTTTTTTTTTTTTTGTGGAATTACAAATTGCTAGTGATATTACATATCTAGGGTGTGGTTGCACGGGTCGTTCTGCGAACGGTTGATTGTGCAAGGATGGAAACTTTAATCGTTAGCAGCCAACAATTTGCGATCAATCATACTTCTCATATTTTTATGTCACCGTGGGAAAATGGACAAAATTGGCCTACAACCACGCCTACTTCCCATATTACACAATTTTAAATTCCATTTGATTCTTTTACCTCTCAGTCACAAATCAAGAATGATATTTACAGAGTGTGTTTTACTTATAACAGTATATCTTTGTGCGTAAAGATAAAATTGGGCGTAAACTTGGCCTAGCACCTACATATGTATATAACTATTACCAAGATTTTTGAACATCCGGCTGACTTTTCGTCCTATGATTGATAATTGTGTTGGCAACTTTAATTAAACCCAGGCACTTTTTTAGTAAGTGGCATGATAATAGTCAATAGATAAAATCGGGGCGATACTCCCCAACTCCTATATCCTACATACGTATAATGATTTTCGTTTTTCTAACAAACCTTATGCCGAATATGTCGGTCAGTGTGTGAGTTATATTGAGTATATGTATTAGATTCCGATACTCTATGTAACTTAACTTTTATGTCTTAAAGAATTCCCCTGGCTTTGATTATTGCAAGTATAAAATGTTCGATTGCACCGGAACTTAGCACTTTCTTACCTATTCAAATTTGGCCGATCGGAAGGAATTCGGAGCGCATTACAACTACATAGTCGAAGAAAACTGTCAACATAATATTAATTTTTGACATGGCTTGACGTGATTTTTCGGCTTTATCYTTTACCAAYATTCTGAACGTTTCGGCAACAGAAATTTGATTTCAAAATAAGGGATAGCCTTGAATAAACAGCATTTACTGAAAATTCTTGTGAACAAAAAGAAAAAACACAAAAACTGTATGTAATAATAATATGCAGTTGTATGCTTGCTTGCTTGGCAGTACCTTCAGCAAACCAAATTTGTGGAATTTTCTTTTAGTTCTGATGTTAATGTGAACTTAAAACGCTTGATACTATGAYATATGATAATTTAATTGTTTTCTTTAGGCCAAATAATGCGTCTTTTACAAGTTACTAAGTATGTGTCGGAAATTAAATGGTTCTTGTGCAAAACTACCAGCTCAACGAAAATTCTGAGAGGACGAAGGGATGAGAATTCTTATTTATTGAAGTTAGGAGTTCCTGGCTACATCGCACGAAAAATAAAGGGAGAGGAATTTAAATTATATTTTTTTAAAGTTATGTGCATAATCTACATATCGGCACATGAAATGCAAAATAACGTAACAACATTTTCGGAAATTGACAGTGGCATGAATGAAACACGAAATAAAATTGAACATGAGTGAAAAAAGAATTTAATATTGGTTAAAACTGGTTTATATCTGAGCGCAGAACCTGAAAATGTTGAAGATATGTAATATTATATATGTAATTTGAAGTAGTGAATCGTAATCAATAAGACACTCAATTTTGAATTTTTCGATGATACGTTATTTTGCATTTCAGGTGACGATATATTCAATTGTTTAGCTTATGTCAATAAAAATCTTGCTCAGAAATTTCCTTTCTTATTAAATAAGCATCAGTCAACGTCAATAAAATATGAATAACTTATAACCTGAAGCAGATAAAAAATAAGTATTTCCCCAGATAGCAAAGTTTCATATTCTTTCTTGYCTCAAGAAAATCTAACCAAATTTGAAGCACTCTACATGTAAAACATGTTTGAGCTTGCGTTATAAAAACTTTGAAATGCCCAAAAGAATTTCCAAGTTTTGTTAGTGACGTGTATCTGTACCTAAGTAAACACAAATTATTAAGAACATATACACAAATTATGTGTGCAAAAGCTTACTGTGAACTCGCGAAACAAACTTGAACTCAGTTTTAAAAAGAATGAGGTCTGAAGGTACAGCCAAACTGAGTTCGTGAATTCGTGACAGGCGCAAATGAAATTTTGTAAATATGTCAGCTAAGCGTTCACTTAAAGTATATAGTACATTTATTCCAGAAATATATATAGGGTATATATACATATTATACTATATGTAGTATATATGTGGGGAACACTCAACACCCAAAGGAGGAATGTTTTGAAGCAACCTTAGTGGAAACTGTRAAGTGTGAAATGGTAAAGTGTTCTGCATAACAATTAAAATTTTCAAGGGAATTAGAAAAAATTATATTATATTTCAACTAGTATGCCAAGTTTGATGGCTTGGCAAACTACTGACGTATTAAAAAGAAGACATGAATAATTTGTAAAGAAATTGTGGATGGAAAAATCAAGGAGACCTTCTTTCTAATAACTGGTCTCCTGAAATCACTTTATTCTATACACATYGGCTTCAAGAGACCTTGGTATGTGGTGCATCCTCAAGATCGAWATTGCTGGAACGAAATTTTGAAAATCAATTTTGGTATTGGTGTTAGATGACCACATTTTCTCCATACACCTCTGATAATTTTCGACTTGCTTGAATTGTTTTTTTTTTTACCATTTTAGTAGCAAAACAGCAAAAATGCCGAAAATGCTCTTTTCGATCTTACATCATCGGTAGAGCGCCAAACAAAAACTATTCCAAACAAGTAAGTAAGAAATAAGTTAGGGTGTAACCGAACATTATATATTTTTGCAATTTGCAGGAATCAAAGCCTTAGCATGTAAAACGTATAACTCATTGAATGTTTAACTTAGTTGGAATATGAAAA